GGTGCAGGCTGACCGTTGAAATATTAATTTATGCCGAGGATCGGATTTCGTGTAAAGTGCGTTGTAAGGTGTGAGGTCCAATTTTTTTGCCTCCGACAAAGGCCCGCAACGTCTGAGATTCCCACATGCGCATGCTTTCTCACGGTCAACTTTCAATGTTCCTTTAATAAATTCAAAATTATTATCTTACGCAGTTATGCCAATCTAGCGAATGGTGTGTATTATGGTATGTGTTTTACATATACACGTGCAATATACACACTGTGTAGTTGGCTAGAATATCCGGCGAGAGTGTATTAATTTGTGGTATAAAGCCCTTGGACGTAATTAAACTTGATTAAGCTCGGAGCGTAATTATTACTGTTCGCTCTTCAATTCAAACATTCTCTATTTGGGATGAAATCAATAAATTCCACCGATAATGTAGCTAGAGTATATTTGTGATGACATCAATAGGCACAATCTATTTATATAAAATATAAAAAAAAGAAATGGAGAAGCAACTTGTAATTTTCCAACATGCCAGTTTGTTTAGTGTGGTAATATGGTATTAAGTAATATAATTATTATATATTACATTTTGCAATGCAATGTTTTCGAAATTTGTATACAAATAAATTAAAATTAAATTTAGCTATGGTGTCATGCCATGCAAATTTGGCATTTTACTTGCGCGAGGTGAAAATAAATCTTGAGATAGTTTGAATATCAATTCACATTTATGTTTTGATCGTTAAAGCATCGAAATGGCGGTCGTAGATAAATTAGAGTTTTCAGCGGCCTTGAGTCGGCGCGTTTCGCGTTCCTAATTTGTTCGAACATTGTCCGGTGTTTTTATTCAGGCCAAGCCCGATAGGCGGCGCACCGCCGTCCGCTCCGCATTGTGCGACCGTTCAATGGGACTTCCGTGTGGCGAGAAGTACGCGCAGGTGGAAGTGCAATTTCAATTGCTCACACAAATTATTTTTCCCACCCAGAATCGAAACTGACAGGCGCGGTATAGGTACTACTCGTGGGTGCAATTTTCGACAGGCTCGCTGAATGCGCACTATCTATTGTTTCAAACAATGGTCGTTCAAAACAATCCATATGATTGTATGCAAAAATAATCTATTTTTGATTTTTTTTAATTCTACGTCAAAAGGTGGCAAACGAGCTGACGGTTCACCTGATGTTAATGATACCCGCCGCCCATTGACATTTGTAACATCCGTTGCGTTGCCACCTTTTAACAACGTGGTCCCCGGCTACTTCACATGCTAAACTGGTATTGAGTGACAGCCCAAGCCGAGGTCCCCTCTCGGGGGCCCTTGGGCCTCATCACTACAGGAAACGTCCACCAAAGAGTTGATGGCCTCCTAAACCGGCGTTAAAAGCGCGACGGACCGAGCCGAGGTTCCCTCGGGAGCCCTCGAGTTTAGCCACCATAACTCGTAACCGAGGTTCAAGCTAGGCACCTCGAACGGCCGGCCACCTCAAGTCTGGTGGATCTGGAAAGACCCCTAAGGCCAACAGTGGTACATCCTGCCAAAAAAATAATCACGCCGGTCTTCTGTGAGATTGTGGTATTTACCCGGACGGACCATTCGTGCAACAGTGAAGACTGTTGCGTGGCCCTACCACAGTTTTTATTATAGATTATATATTATGTTAATTACATAGAAGTATTTTATTTATGTAGAAAGACGTGATGAAGAACTCATATAGTTTCGTTAATCCTTTTATCTATTCAATAAAGTATTAAAACTCAATCTGTCGATTTACTGTGGATTGCAATAAAAAGAAAAATTTTTTGCATATCCACAATTTATGGAGTATACTTGATCTCTGTTTAATATTAAGTCTCTGTCTCTCTGTTTAACATTACGTCTAGAATGTTTAACATTACGTCTAAACAATTCGCATGTTTCAATATGCAAAAGCATAAAATACTTTTTTAAAGCGTTATTGAATATTTTAATACATTTTTATTGATAGTTGTTATTTCAGAAGTTAAATGCTTCAGCGTTGTTGTATTATGTAAAAACGCTGAAATTATTTTACCTAAACTAGCTTCACATCATCTGCCTCGCCCACGGATTACACCGACTTGCGGAAGTTGCGACTTAAATGTTGAAACAATGTTTTTAGTTATAAAATTTGAGGATTGCCTTCGATTTCTCTGGGATATCTCAATTCCAACAAAAAAAGAATCATCAAAATCAGATAATAAACGACAAAGTTATCCGCGAACACATTTTTTTATGCGAAAATTTGTCAAACGAGCAGACGGTTCACCAGATGTTAAGGGAATACCGCCGCCCATGGACATCTGCCACACCCGAGGGTTACAGATGCGTTGACAACCTTTTGAAAATTGGGCTCCGGCTACCTCACTCACCAGACGCAAAGCGAAAGTATTTGTCGTACTTTCACTTTACGCTGGTCTTCTGTGAGGTCGTGGTACTTACCCGGATGGGCCTGCCCATTCGTGCAACATCCGAGGCTGCTGCGTGGCCCTACCACCGTAAAAAATATATGGCCGACTTGAAATACGTAAAAAATAAAAATATATACGACCGACTTGAAAAACCTCCTTCCTTTTTGAAGTCGGTTACACCCAGAACCTATATTAACGCGTTGAGAAACTTGAAACCTTCAATATAATAAAATATTGCTTTCAAAAATTTAAACAAAATACCTGATACAATAGAAAAATTAGAATCTAAAAACCCTCCTCTATGCAACTCATTGGAAATATTGGGAAAAATTGTTTAACAGACTTTATTCTTTTCTTCCTGAACAGATGATGAAATAACGCCAAAATAAGTACTTCTTTTAAAATTAATATTAATAATTATATTATAAACGTCTTTTACTCAAGAAAATAAGACACAAGAATTTCAACTGACAATAAATAAAAAATTAACGTGGATTAAAATAATAAATATTATTTTCATTAGGCATATATTTTGTAACATCTTTGACCCTTTTATAGCGGATATTTGCATGCATCTTTTGGCATTCTGATAGTGCATATAATCCAATGTCTAGTAATTACATAATGAATTTTGTCACCTCTAATGAGCAGTATAAACTAGCAAGGATTTCTCAAAATTCATCGCTCGACTACATCCCGATTGTCCGTGAGCAAGCTCTACATCATGTTTTGCAACAATCCGTCGAGATATTTCGCTTATAGGGCTAAGATCACTTGCAAGTCGATAGCTGAAACTTCGCTTGGGGTCCGTTCAAAGATATAATACCGCTAACCGGTACTCTGCCGCTTCGGTTTGACGCTTGCAGAGGGTTACGACGTATCCGCATATTGACCGGTAAAAAGTCGCAGGCAAAACGGTTAGCGACGGTTGCACTCACGTACCGTGAAGAGCACCGCACCTGTTATTATTATTGTGCATTCGAGAATCGACCGTATCCCACTAAAAATACCGCTCGACCGTACTATCCAACGAAGGATTTATTCAAACTGCCAATGAAGATATTATTCCGTCTATAAAATACACCGCAGATACAGGCATCCGTAAAACCGTAAGACTGTTGTATGTATTGGATAAGTTAGATTTAATGCATCATTCAAATCATTTATTCATTATTTCGTATTTGACCCTCGGGAAAACATTGAGTTCTATCAATCAATCGGTTAACCACCACTCTAAAATGTATCGAAAATTATGAAAGGCCGCAGAGCATGCTTGTTAACAGCATTTCGATTTACTAATTGATGTTTAAAATTACCGTCGATAATTGTATGCAATAATTATTACAGATGAAAATGTTATACTACGTTACATTCTCCATATTAACTTACTTTTTTTAACAAAATATTAAGGATGGAATGGGAACGTGCGGAGTGTCTCTTTCATTAATTAAAAACTTCGTCCCACTGCTGGGCAAAGGCCTCCTCTGTACAAAGGGTATCAGGGGTTGCTCGAGTATATTAAATTAAAAGCGAGCGCCCGGACACTGAGCTTGTTGCTTTTCTTAGGAGCAAATTGAAAAATAAAACTTTGGTACCTTACAATAATGAGGAGGGAGGTATACTTCGGTAAAATTCTTATAAATAAATTAATGTTCAATAAAATGTTCAGAGGAATCCGTATCCATTATCATAGGAAAGTTTGACATATAATTTAATATATTTTCATTATTGATCAGTTGGTAAGTACGAGTCCTCATATTCTTGTTACATACCTTATTTAAAAAAATGTCATGTGGACGAAATTAAAAACTTTAAATAGTGACATTATTGTATAGTGTGGAGTATTTAAAAATAATCATGAGTAGCTAACCTATCATTGAAGTACAATAATTTTCTATGTGCGTTAGGGATGAGTCAGAAAATATGACTGTCTCTAAGCCCTGATATATTAAAGTTACCGCCATTTTATCATAAATTAAGTGACTGAGACCTCACGGTTTCGTTTAAATGTGGATATATGTAGCCTGTCAAGTCAAGTGGTTTGTCACTTGGCGTGCACACGGTGCATATCGGTGGTATTTTTACCCACGTTTTTATTCCCCAACCGCTGAGGTACCACTGTAATTCAGATTGTAATTCACAGATCGTTAAGTATATCATAGTTAACTAAAGATACTTTTATGACTGAAACTTGGCTAGTCCAAAACAATTACGTGCATAATAGCATCGTTCATGTAAACATTATGTGTTCAAGTTTGACTTACACACGAGTACAGCACCGCCTTCAACGTGGCGGTCCTATAAACAGCTCTAACTGAATTATTTCATAGCTGTGCACACGCTGCGGCTATGGAGGCACCATTTCCTGCTCATTTCCGCTACCCGATGCCGGCCCACAAGCAAGTTTAGTATAGCCTTTAAAAGCTCTCTTAGCATAATAACGTTAATAAAAACGCAAAAAAGCCCGAGAACTGTTGAATTACTTGGGCAAACAAATTATAAATTCTGTGTCCAACTAAAGTATCGCGGATAGTCGGAAAATTACTGTAAATAATCTGAATGGGTAATTTATCTGACTTACCTCTTTGGAAAGTTTCGAGTAATGAGTCTTTACTTCGGCAAGGGCGCTTCGTAGCTGCTGGCCTTCATATTTTAAGCGTCCAACGTTGCTGTCCAGTTTGTCCACTCTGGCCTCGTGCGTGCGAGCCAGTTGAGCCAAATCAGATGTCTCCATCAATGCTTGTTTCAGCTGTAGAAGTGGACCTCCCTTTAGCCATTTCATTTAATTTATACGTCATACAATTAGGTATATCTTATAATTACATTAATCTAATTTCTCTGAATTTTTACTTTAATGTAAGCCATAGAGTATCCATGTATTGATCAAACTTTACTAATAAACGGCACTCAAGTGGCATCTTTTGCGAGCAGAATTTTCAGTGGAAAATTGTTCTTTTTTTGCATTTAATTTCAGCTACGTAACTCTCGATTGCAGTGCATTTTTGTGTAAAGAGGACACGGACGTGGTAAAATATATTTCCATTTAAAACCTGTTATAAAATGAAATTAATTTTTATCTGAGAAAATGACGCCATTTATGTAAATGTTACGATTGAAATTCATATTTTAAATTAACTATAAAACCTAACAGTAAGTTAATAAAGTTAGAACATTATGTATAAACTTCCCTCAGTGATTCTTTGAACGTTTGCCTCTTATTAAACGTTGTACTTTTGTACTTTTTTCTCGCAAAGTTAAAGAGGATTTACAGCGATATTTAAACGAAATTGGACTATTTTTATGTTAGAAGCAAATTCGTGTACAGGAAAAAATTCAATTTCAGTAAAAATGAATTCTGTATTCGTCAAATACGATTAAGAGTAAAACAGTATTTAATAATCACGTGATTATTCCTCTTTCCTGGAACTAACTTTTTTATCGTTTGTCCCATATGTATGTAATTATTATTGCAGAAAATAGCTATAGAGTAATACTATAGTGGTAAAGTTAAAATCATTCCATATTTTTGGCTCGTATTTAACAAACTACTGTTTGTACAATTCATGATATCTTTTTGGGATTATCAACATCCTATAAAATTGGCATAATATTAATCCTTCCTAATTATGGTTAAAAGGCCCTCGACTATCTAGTGGGAGGCTTTCACCTCGTGACCGATGACATCGTCTGGGTCATGGGCACCCAGTGGAAGTAAAACGCCACAGAAAGTGGCGTTGTTGTGGCGTCCTTAGGAGAAATTTGTTCAAAAGTATTCAGTTCAGTAAGTATTCCGGCTGAAGATGACGGTAATGATGGCTCCTAAGCGTATATAGCAAATATACAGCTATAACAAATATATTGAATCGGACTATTCAAACAAATTTAAGAAAATTTATCGCTGAATTAGAAAATAACAAGTTTTAATATTGTTTTTCTATAAACATAGGATTACGAAGTATAGTACATACATTAATTATACTGTCAGTTATGTTCCTCTATCGTTCACAATTATTCAAAATTCAAAAACGAAAGTGTATTTATAATTCGTATGGAAATTTACAATTGAATTATTTAAACTCGTGTGGCGGAGAGTGGCTTGGCACTTACTTCGTTGCGAATGTGGTGGAGCTGTCGTAAAAGAGCTGAGTTATTCACGCTCTCGGACATTTCCTTCATCTCGACACGGAGTTCCTTCATAGAGGTCTTGGCCCACTGCAAAGTCAATTGCTCGTTCCGTTCATGGTTGTCCGTCGGATGAGCGGGCTGTCGTCTAACAAAAGAACACGTTTTATTCATATAAACATGAACTGTAAAGGACCTGCGAATCGCATCGCTGTTTGTCACGCATTAATTGCTTTATTAAATTTATATTAGCACTATAAACGAGCCTTTGAAAATATTTCACCGCTCCCGTTTTACAGGATCGAGCAATAAACGAAATGTTAATTAAGTGAGCAGAGAGCGTTATTAAATTTACGAAACATTATTAAGTTCCGCAGATAAAATAAATATTAAAACGTATGCGTTTCATATCACTTTAAATGCAATATCACGTTCTGACATAAAGCGTATCTGCCGCTGAAGATAAATATAGGTACACATAATACAATCGTGTCACATGGGACGCTGTTTACTGGGTTTACGCTCCGTAACGTGTTACATTTTAATTAAAGGCCTACTTAGTATTTTATAAACCAGATCGGTTTCCTCCATTTCGGCCGCTTGGATCTACTAACAAAGCGAGCAAATTCCGTTAACGCAAACATTTGTGCGCATAAGTGGGGCCAAAGCGTATGATCATCTATCTGTACCATCACACATACTTAAAGCGCATACTGTAAACCACATGCGCGAATAATCCGCCAGGAATTTCGGGGAATGCCAAACATTTGAGCAATTGGATATAATGGTTAAATTCCCGCTCTATTTGTAAATGATTTCTATTTTGCCATTTGCAACATCATACATTTCAAGTCTTGCCCTTATCAAACACACTATGTATTTGCACATACCAAAGTCCGTTCAAGTATAGTTGTATATTCCGTTCAAGTATACAAGTATATAAGTTCAGACTTAGTTCGTGTAGTTAGATGATTAGAAATCTCAGAAGTGGCCGAAATTGAAACCGCTCGGTCCGAACTATTCCATTTATCGCGCATCCAATAAACGTGCCCCGGGTAACCGTAAGCAGCGTGTTTCGCGAATTCACGCTGCATGCCCCGATGCGCCCGAAGTTGCCCTCTTTGTCGAGACCAGCGATGCTCTCGCAATAGGAACTTGCCCAAGATAATCACAGTTCGTATTGTAACCGAAAATTACTCCGGGCGCAAACTTCGCCCGTAATCGCCTTAGAAACATTGACAAGCAGACGACCTTTGTTATTCGAACCTATAACAACTGAAAGTTAAAACATGACATTACTATGTACTTTTCCTTATAACTAGATATCCAGTTCTTATAAAAACTACACGACTAAGGAGAAAAATTACTGATTATAGGATTACGAATATTTGATAATACAATATTTTGTACGTATACTTTATTTGTGACTTAGATTAAAGAAAATAAAATTTAGTGTGTTACAATAATGTAACTTTATAAAAAAAAAACTAAAATGAAACAAAGTAAATTTTTGTAGAAACAAACATCATGGCAAATTGGGGGTAAATCCAACGATATCTAATACCTTTTAAAGAGCAATTCTTGTATATATACAAGAATTGCGAATTTCCGAATCTCGGAAACGGCTCCAGCGATTTTCATGAAATTTTGGCCGGTAACTGTAGCGGACGGTAAATTTGGCCAAAAAAAAATGTTATAATAGCTCGGTCGGTAATCGGGCGGCCCCGAAACAGAAGACCGTGTTTCATGTCACGATCATTTAGACACTTATTTTTTTTTACTTTTTTTCCATAACCTTTATTATTTTTTTAATTTCCAAAGTACACGATTTACCAGAAAAAAACTCCTCCTCCAGGTCCTCTAGGTACTTAATTTAATAGAACCAAGGGAAATTAGCAAGATCTGCTCCAATATAGAAATACAACTGTTCTACGTCACTGCAAGATAAAGTTTCTAGTCTAGAGTTGTGCAAACATTAGCTCCCGGTACTGAAGGGAGTTAATTGACAAAACGGTGCGTTATAATGGATTCGTAGCTGGTTGAAAGCGGAACACAGGAAGTTGCGTTATGCAAGAGCGCGTGGGTACCTTGTTCCATACAACGGGCACCCCATCTCATCGTCAATAATAATTCTGCTATTATTACACGTATTAGTAGTCGATGCTCCCAAGTGATATCTTGTCATGCGCATCATCATCTAAAGTTACCATTACCTTTACGACTGAAGCACAGATGCGATTCCTTTCGACTTCTTCTTCTTCTTCTTCTAAGGCAGTTGGCGGTCATCATACGATAACGACAATGACATGGTAATGATAAAGAAACAAATGGTTTCAAATATCTAAGAATAACTTCTGGTTGTTTATTTATGATCTGCTTTTATAATGATTCTATGAATATTTTATATATATAATTGAGTTTGAAATCTAATTAACGATATTTTGTAATTAACGATTGTTTGTAATAATTTTGTTAAGAAGTTGTATTTGATTTTGTACAACATATTGCGAGTAGATTTATGTTTCTTTTTTAAAATAAAAACTTATACATTGAAATAGAAGAAGCGCTCTTGGGATAAAAGGTTCAAATTTCAATGGTGCCAAAAAAGAAACGTGAATGCATTCTAAAGGAAAAACGCAGTGCTACGAGTTGTTTGTTATTTTTTATAAATAGATTGGAAGGTTAATAGGGTCGGGACTGATGGTTAATCCGATCTCACACTAGGCTTGTTTTTGATGCGAAAATGAAAGTTGTTTCACTGTCACAATGTAGTAATGTTATTACTTTTATTCTTCTATATATATTTTTATATTCTAAATAGTAGTATGTCGAACATAATATATAAATTAATATATTTATTGGAAATTATTTTACATTTTCACTTTAATAGGTAAATCTTAATTAAAAAATTTATTGTTAAATTAAGTTTCAGGCATATGAATCCACAATTATCGCAAATACATGGTAGGAAAATTCAGCTCACAAACAGATTGAATTCAAACCATCGTAATTCATTGAAATCACACAAAGTATTTCGTTACGATCATTCGAAATTAAAAAGTAATAAATCTAAAATCGATCCCCAGGTGGATATAGCGCCAAGTGATTTGAAATAATTTATAATAATGCTCCAATGTACAGCTATAGAGCTGTAACTGTATCTATAGAGTTAGCTTTGTCCAATACGCGAATAACTTTTTTTTAAACCTCACCACTTGATTAAGGATATTTCATTTAGCACTCGCGGCTTTATCAGTTCAAAACATCAGTTTGTCGTCGGTTTTTTTTATTTTGGTGCGTCGAGTTTTGCGAGCAACACACAACTATTCCCGTATTGACTGACGACTTGGCGCGAAAAATCCTAGTCGCGCGGGAAACATGATTCGAGACACAAAAGCGGGCGTTGAAATCCCGCAGTGTTGGAATTTTACAATACGTTGCCGTGTCGACGTGTCGTAGCTTCAATTTCCTGGTAGCGGACGCCTTGTTAGCTACGGAAATAAAAAATGCAACTCGCTTGTACGCAGCGAGGAAAACAAAATTCGAATTCATCCACAACAAACTTGTATACAATTTGCACTCAGTAGATGTTCGTACTTTCCGTAGTAACTAAGCGATTCAGGCGTTCCATACGTCTTACAAATTACGTTTCGTAAAGATATGAAAACATACGAGGCTTCGAGTTTTGGCCATATATTTTATCTTTTTCCGATATAGCCATTCACTGCTTATTTATGTTTTAATAATTGAAAAATATGAATGAGAATTATAAGTTAAAACGATTAAAATTTTCAATATTTTAACATACTCAGATCAGGGCTATTAGAGTATTAAGAGATCTCAAATGACTTCCGTTTAATTTTTTTAATTCATTACGAACAAAAAAGACATTGTGTTTTCGTCCCTTTTCATAAAAAGTTTATAATATTAAAATATGTAGAAAAAGTTTATAATATTTATTACCTTTTTACTACTCTCCATTGTTTTTCTCAATTATTTAATACTAATGTCCACCAAATAATGTTAGAATTCTGAGAAGAAACCTAGAATAATATCTTGATATGCCTAAGCCCGAAATGAGAGAAAAATTCGCCTTCGGCCTATAGCAAATGCGTATTGCATGCTAATCGTAGTTAATCACAAAGAACATGATAACAAACAACATAATAAAGCAGTCGCTTCACGGTACGTTATTACTTATTTCTTAAATTTTTCTTATTTAAAAAATTAGAAAAAGTCAAGTAAGAGATAAAATAGAAGATAACTATTACTTTTTCTTGTTTAAATCGCCTATAATATACCGGAAGTGAGTCTAAGTCCTTTAGTCTTTTTTGAAGATATTGTCGTTTGGAACAAAATATGAGAGTAAAATTTATACGATGATCAAAAAACGACATTTAAGTAATGGCTTCTGATTCGCCCAGAGTGTTGCGATATATATATTGAAAATTTATAATAATCTTTTATTTTAATTTGAATGGCTAGGAAGCAGGATGTTTATATTTATATGTTTACTTTATTTTTGACTTTACGGCGTTTTTGCTATGATATCATAGCGCAATCACGCACTGATAACAATCCAACATTCATGGACATGGCGAAGCACACAACGAAAACATTAGTATAAACCTTTATATCATAAGTTTAAGGGAAGTAATTACCACGACTTTACTTTGTGTAGTACAAGTGAAGTCATTTAGTACAAGTCAACATGCAAATACAATGTTGGATTAACATACATAACGCTCCGATCGAATTTTATAGCGACATTTATGTAGCTTTTATTAAATTGGGAGGAAAGAATTTAATATAGAAATGTAATAAAAATTAATTCCCTCGGGGTATTATTTTATGTACGTATGCAATGGGAGCGGAAATCTATCTATGACAATGACAACGAGGAAAATCCTAGTTATAACGGGGACAAAAAAGTTGCATTTCCCTGATTTACAAGGCATTGGAAGATTTCTCGTACATTCATTGAAAATACATCTCCATTCAATAGGTACAATCAAAGACGCTTTCCCTCACGACGCGTGCCGTTACACCGGCATTTCAGAAGATGAGTTCGGTTCGATAAGCTCCAGTGAAGAGATACACGGCTAGCACGTGTTCATGTCTCAAAGCTTTGCATGCTAGTGCAACCTT